CCGCGCAGCGCCGCACCGGCCCGGCGGGAAACGGCGACCCCGCGCTCGGGTTCCGGGGTTGCGGAGGGCCGGGGGGGGGTTTTCAGGGGGTGTGGGGGCCTGTCAGGGGTCAGGTCGAACACCAGGGAGACCCTTTTTCCCCTTTTCTCCCCCCCCAGCGTGTGTTTGGCTGCTGAGAGTGGCTCAAAGCTCCTTCTCGCTGGCGCTCTTTGGCTGCAGCAGAAGTTGCAACCATTGCGCAAAAGACCTCCCTCTCTCCAGCTGTTCTCCTCTTCCTTTCCCAGGCCATTCCCCCTCCCTGGGCTGCCCCTCTCTCTGCAGAGGATCACCAGCTCCCCTGTTTGTTTGAACCCTGCACCCTTTTCCCTTCCGCTCCACGTGATGCCCTGGGCCAAACATCGTCTCCCTCACCCCTGGGCCAAACATCGTCTCTGTCATCCCTGGGGCAAACATCGTCTCCCTCACCCCTGGGCCAGCACTGGTCGCGGCTCCTCCAGCATGATCCTCAGCTTGACCATCCCAGCAGCGCTCATGATGCTCCCCTTGGGGTTCTGCTGGCCGCCAGCTTTCCAAGAGGTGAGTCTGACCTCCAGTTTCCAGGAAGCCTTTTGTATTTCTAGGAAAAAAAAAACAAAAACCCACAAAAAAAAAAAAAAAAAAAAAAAAAAAAAAATGCTGAATTTTGCAGAAGTTAACCACTATTTTAATACGAACTCGTATGAAGAACAATCATTCCGTTCACTTTTTCATACTTTTTATCTTTCAGGTTTTTTATTTCAAAAAAAAAAAAAAAAAAACCCCAAAAAAAAAAAAAAAAAAAAAAAAAGAAGAGGAGACAACGCAACGTGTTCTAAGCCAAAATCCATCAAACCTCACTAATCAAGAAGATAAAGCTGTTTCCTCTGGGTGGCTGTTTGCTTAAGTGCAAAATAAAGCCATGGGAACTTGGCATCCATACTTGTTGAGTTGTTTGCTGGCGTTCCTTCCAGGTTAGGTTCACTTAAACGAGAGTCTTGTATCCATTTATTTTTTCTAAAAAACCCTAAAGCTATTCCTCTTCTTGCAGAAATTTCTCGGCGCTTTGGATGCAGAAGATGTTTTCTCTTATTTTGGAACCAGCTCAGTTTCTGATGGTATGCAGGGCTCCTTCCTTCTTGGTTTTGGAACACATCTGTCAGTTTATTTCTAATCCTGTGTGCTTGATAACGCTAAGGACACTTATTAATGAACCCTGATCTGACAAGCATTTAGCGTTTCTGAGTCACATTACTCAGAGAGACAATCCGTGTTTCAGTGTGAAGCGGTTGAAGAACTGGGTCAGTATTTGAAGTCTGCTGGAGGAGATATGATAAATCTTTTTGCACATTCCTCCTGCGGTCCTTATTCTCTGTCTTGGTATTTTTCTAAGAGATTAACAGATCCAGGTCTTCTGGGTGAGAAGCTTTAGGCTAAGAATAGCTTTAAATGCCCTTGATAATTTTTTTGAAATAAACACGTGGAGAGACTGGTATTCTGGGTCTGGACTGATGGTAGTTCAGGATAAAGACATGTTTTAAATTCTCAAGTCCTGAAAGCCAGGGTGTTGTCTACTTGTGAGTTCACCTAGTGCTCATCCCAGTGTCTCTGTCTGGATTATGGTAATTCTCACTCAGCAATACTTAACATCTGAGGAAGTAAAATTGTCTCAGCCTTTGTTAAATGGACTGTTCTCCTTATCGAGAGAGCAAAAGCACCAATAAATCAGGAGCAAGTTTCTAAGCTGTTGTCTGTTCCCAATCAGATTATCCTCACTTTGGAATATGTAAAAGCCTAGAAATTCTTTGGTAACACGATGATCCTGAAAGTCCACATTTGTCATCTGGAGAGTCCTTTTTCCTAGGGAGATAGATTGTTGCATTTGTTTTCTGTGTATCATTTTTTCTTATAACTGTTCCCCTTGTTCTTGCCTTGTTTTGTTTCTTCCAGTACCCGAGTTTGTTGTTGCTGAGCCAACTTGCCCTTGTAAAGAAGAACAGGTTGGGCCGATGTCCTGTCGGATTCAACATTGCTCCATTGAGGCCTGGGGGGAACTCTATGCCTTTGAATTTCTAGAGGACCATGCCCTCCTTTCCTCTTCCTTTGTGAGCAATCAAGTGGTGAACTCTTCCTTGAGCTTACTCAAGCGATTCTCAGGTGGCTGCTTTGCAGGTGGAAACCCACTGCGACCTCCCGGGGCCAAGTGTAGAGTCACCTACTGTGAAGGGCAGCTGGTGAGTATGGACTAAGCTTACTCTTACAAGTGTTTACAGCCATTGTATGTTTGCAGCTTGATGCACCAAACATGCATGAACCATCCATTTAATAAACCTGAGCATTACAAAGGAGAAACAGGAAGGGCATGGTGCACAGTTCTCCATCGATAGCAAATATCTTTGGAATAACTCAGAGATGGAATTTCATCTCCTTTAGCAAGGAGTCGTCGTTGCAGATGAGGAAAAGATTCATATCAGGCCTGTGAGAAGCAAAGATATGGCCCTGCTGAAGGACCTCGGCTTCTCCAGACCCCACATTCTCTTCAGAAGTGCCGTGAGAGAGGCAAATACAGCAAGAGGTAACGTAGATGGAGGGGAAACCCTGTTTGTTCTGCTTGGAAAAGCTGCCTTCTGGTAGTGGGGTTGCTTGTGTGAGCTCAAAGGAAAAACTTGTATCTACAAATCTTTGGGTGTACTTAAATCTGTTTCTCAGCTCACTGAGGTGTAACCAGTGTGTTTTCGTTTAGGTATTTGTTATTTTGATAGCACAGGTTTGTCATTAAGGATGCTGGCAGGTGAAAGAAACCAACAGAATTGGGAAACCTGAGCAAGCAACTGGAAGAGTTGTCTTCCAGCTGGATTGCTCTAGTATGTCAGGAAAAGGGAGTGGATCTATGGGACCTTTTATGCTGTCTTGCATTTTGAACTCCCCGTGTCCCTTTCTGCTGTTCAGCAGGGCGGTTTCCTTCTCGCCTGCGGAAGAGGGCTGAGGGAGCTGTCAAACACCTGGAGCTGATGGTGGTAGCAGGTCCAGATGTTTACTCCTACCACAAAGAGGACACGGAGCGATATATTCTCACCAACCTGAACATTGTGAGTAGCTTTCTGTTTGGATTGCTGTCCCAGTGTGAGAGCTCATGGTCTCACGGGCTGTGTCACAGGCGGGTGGACCTCTCTGAGTGCCCTTTCAGAGGAGTTTGTAGTTACCTGCTCCTAGTACCATGCACAGCTTGTGTGCAGGGTGTTCCTCTTTGCTTCTTTTGGCACGGCATGGCAAGCTTTCCCTGGTGCAAGGAGCTGCACAAGGAAAAGTGGTTGTTAAAAGTTTTGGGGTTGTAGCCTTAAAGCCCATATAGAAAATGTAGCTCTTTGTTTCAGTACTAATATTGTTATATGTCAGATCCAGTAGCAAGAGTTTTTATCACCAGAGCCTTGATCCAGTCCCTGTAGCTTTTCAGATGCACTGAATTAATCTTACATTTTACATTTCAACATTTTATTTCTAGTACAGAATTTCTCTAAATGTCTCCCTTTGCTATTATTAAGAATTTGTTTATGCATTTTTCTCTGTGTGTGTATTGAAAAAAGAGTCTTTAGCTTTCACCCTCCTACACTATGAAGATTCCACGCAGATTTTTCTTTCTGCTGCAGAGCATCTGACAAGTCTAACAACAGTTCTCATCTGTTGACAGATTTATTTGCATTTGTAGTGCATGCTATAATGTTGTGCTTCCTGGTGATTTTCTAGTTGCCCCTTACGGTTCCCAGGTGTGTTACCTTTGTGGTGACTGCAGCCCTGTTATTGGGAACA